ACCACATCCACCCCCACAGACCCCAGAAACCCCCCCAGACCTTCCACGTCCCCCCTGTGGTGCCCCATAGACCCCATACACCTGGAGGTGGGTTAGGCTCCAGGCTGCAGGGCTTGTCCTCAGCACACAGAGCTAAACCCAGAGCAAAAGCAGCGCCAGGTCCCAGGCGTCCCTCAGGGCAGTGTGCTGCAGCCTGGATTGTCCCCAATCACTGCAGAACCATCCGTGGCCATGTCCCCAGGTCAGCACGCTGCCCATCTTCTCTTCCAGCACGCCTGACCGTGTCCTACTGCCGGAGCAGTGGCCCTGGGGGTCAGAACGTCAATAAAGGTGAGAGAGAGAGAGACCTTGAAGGAAAAATCCTAATATTGAAGTTGTTTCTTTAGACTTTGTGGTGCTTGGGAGCTTGAAATTCAAGAGCACTGCCTGGTGCTCATTTCTCATTATCACGACCCTACATTTTAACAGAACTTCAAAGTCTGGAGACCAGTGGTACCATATTGGTTTCTCCTAGAAACATTCCTGCTGGGATTGTTGCTGCTACACGTGTCACACAAAACACCACTTCTGTCTAATCTGCTTTGATTAATCCAACATACACCAAGCCAAGTGGATTCTGAAACTTTACAGTGCAATAAATTCTCAGCTTCATTCAAATAAACTAAAAATAGTTCCCGTTCTGCTGTTGTTGATAAAAATAAGGTAGTTAGTGACTGGCAATAGCAATAAATCTTGTAGTGTCTAGAAGGCAAATACGATGACAGAGTCTCCAGAAAAAAATTAGAGTTTGTCTTGTAGAGCGGTATGTAAAAATATAGCAAGAAAAAAAGTGTGATCTTTCAGGAAATGAATACTGGAATCATCCTATGTTCAAAGCCAGCAGTAAACAGACAATTATCTCATAAATCTTAGGAAGGTTAGCTTGTTACCTTGAAAAAATGATCCTGTTTTCCTCCCAGTGAATACCAAGGCAGAAGTTCGGTTCCACCTGGCCTCAGCAGACTGGATTCCAGAAGCTACAAGGCAAAAAATGGCATCGATGGTAACTACCCTCCCCCTGCCAGCCACGGGTTAAATGTCACACTGCCAGCCAGAACGTGACAAATCTAACAAGGTTTCAGTGATCACATCTCAGTTTTCCCTCTTCAGCACAGGAATAAGATAAACCGAGCTGGTGAGCTGATTGTGAACTCTGAAGAGAGTCGCTACCAAATGAGGAATCTGGCGATTTGTCTAGAAAAAATCAGAACCATGGTCACGGAGGCCACAGAGACACCCAAGGTGGTGTCTAAGGAGACTACACAGAAACTCATAGAGAGGTACCCTTATTGAAATGGCCTTTATGTGAGATGGATTCACAGTGTCGTGTCCAATAATTTAGTTTGCAGCCTCTTTAAAATATCGTACTCATTTGGATTTCCTTTTTTAGAAAGAAAATAATCACTGGTCCATTAGATCTTAACTACTTTCCAAGAACAAGGACTGGTTTTTTTGTTTGTGAACATTTGCCAGCTCACCAAATCTACATTATAATTGTGCTCAAAGTTGAATATTTAAATGTGTTTTTTGTACACTAAAGGATCTTTTCATTTTGTTTTAGGGTGGAAAAAATGAACCGTGAACGACTACGACAGAAAAAGATACACTCAAGTATAAAACAGAGCAGGAAGGCAGACTTTGACTGAGAACAGCAGAGATTGAAGTCCTCAACGTACCCATCTTTTTAAAGAAATGGCATTGGCGGCTGTAGGTGATGCTAAACTTATGAGCTGTATTGAATAGAAATGGTCTAAAAGTGTAAATAAAAATATTTAACATCTTCTTTTGAACATAGTGATATACTGTGACAGCCAGTCAATCATTTTGCAGAAAAATTACTGCTCATGTTTGAGAGAAACTAAAAATTCAGATTTTTTTTTTTTTTGTCAGCCACTTTTTCTTTTTTTAAACTTATTCTTTGTCCCCCTCATCCAGCCCCTCTGCTCTGTGAGAGCACCCTCTGCTGCTGATCACACAGGCAGCAGTAGATTTGGGGGAGGGGGAAAAAAGGGAAGAGTAAAATCAGTCTAATTGCATATTTAAGCAGAGCAGAGCAAAGAGATTATTCATCAGTTCAAAATTTAAGAAAACCATTTGTTTATTTTTTTTCCTAACAAAAAAAAAAAATAAAATTGCATGTCATTTTGTTAAATTAACCTAAAGCCATGGCAGGGAATTTGGGAGGAGGCAGATTTCACCACCACCAGATCAGTTCACTGTGGAGGGGTCTCAAAGATCGTGAAATTACATTTTTTTTACCCATTTGCAAGGCCCCAGTGGCCTAATGGATAAGGCACTGGCCTTCTAAGTCAGGGATTGTGGGTTCGAGTCCCACCTGGGGTGAAGAGAGGTGGTCCTGTTTTAAGGAAAAAAAGCCAAATGAGAGGGGAAAGTGCTTTTCTGCTGGTCCCTGGAGTTTAACTGGGGCCCAGCGAGGCGTGGGGGGCTCTGATGCTCCCACCTCTCCTGCTTGGTCCCCCTTGGAAGGGGAACTTTTGAGTTCTGCCCTTACCCACTCCAGCATTTATATCAGCAAAACGCAGAGAGCTCAAATCCCACCTTCTCCCCAAAATGAGCTGTTTCGGGGGGTGCAGGAGCAGCACCCTGGCACCCCTGCCCCGGGCTGGCCACCTCCCCGTGCAAAAATAAACTAAATAAACTAAACTAAATTATTATAAAATAAGCTAAAACCTGCCTAAAACTTCCCTGCAGGGGAAGGGGGTGGGTGTCCATTGCAACCAAAGGGGGGTGTCGCTGGTTCAGGCATATTTCTGACATTGAAAATCATCACACAAACAGCAGTTGGGGCAACAACAGCCTCTGCCAAGACCCCTATGACCAGGAGAC